GAGCTGTCTGTGTGCAAGGTACAGAAACAGACCCTTGCCAGAACAGCGCTTCTGGGGCAGAGTTGGTATAAATGAGATTGTTGCAAAGGGAACTCAAGATTTAAGGAATCCTGGAGAAAGTCCTTTCTTGTTCTGAGGAGGATTGCTCTCGGTTGATCATTCACTTATTTGAGTGCTTTAGTCAAGAACGGAACATCACTCCTCCTCAACTCCCAGTCTTCCTCTCTCCATCCTGAGCAGGAGCAAGAGGGAAGAATCCCAGCAGCTGTGGCAGGAGTGTCTGAGGCTGATGAAGCAGATACCAAGAAGGGTCAGATGTCCAGGCTTACAGCACAGTGCTGCCACAGGCATGATTCGTGGGCATATTTTTACTGTAGGGCAAGAGTAAGGCAAGCCTGCGTCACTTCTAATTATATCTGGGGGATCATACAGCTCTGCAGTTTCTGGAAACTGGTGGAGAATTTTAATCGCGAAGTCCAGGTGGTCCCTAGAATATCTTGATGCCTTTTTTTTTTTTTTGATTTGGAGTCCCACTCTGTCGCCCAGGCTGAAGGGCAGTGGCACACTCCCAGCCACCACAGCCTCAACCTGCTGGGCTCAGGCAATCCTCCCTGCTTAGCCTTCCAAGTAGCTGGACTACAGGCATGCGCCACCACACCTGGATAATTTTTTGATTTATTGTAGAGATGAGGTCTCGCCAAGTTGCCCAGACTGGTCTCAACCCATGGGCTCAGGCATTCCTCTCACCTTGGCCTCCCAAAGTGCTGGAATTATGGACGTGAGCCACCGCACCTGGCCTAATACCCTGATGCTTCTGTATCTTGTCTCTTGGTTTGGACAAAGGAAAATCTGGTCTGGTTTGTACAGACTTTTTTTTTTTTTTTTTTTGGAATATGTCTTCGATCACGTAATAGATAACAAGAAACATAAATATTTCTGTTCAAACACATTTGTAAGTTCTTTAATTTTAAGCTATATAAACTATCTGACTCTCATTTTATATCTGTAGAATACATTCAATCTTGGCAGATTTTTGTGTAAACATTAGAAATTTATCTACATAACAAACTAGATCCCTATGTTGTTTTTACAGTCTGTGTTTAAAAGTTCACAAATTACATTTTATAGAGGTAAGACTATACAATCTTGTAACTTATTTTCATGTTTTGGGGCCTCAGGATAGACCAAAGTTGATAGTTGGTATAAGTTACCAGAGAAACACAAATTTCTAAGATAGCCATCACAAATTCCTCCTATGTTTAATAAGCCAACTGAATAAATGG